GGAGGTGGAGCTGTTTGATGTTTGGAGAATTGACTTCATGGGACCATTTCCGTCTTCATTTTCCAACCAGTACATTCTTTTTTCCCATCTTAGGTTTCCACGTAAATCTTGCGTTCTTGTTGTTTGACTTTCATATTGTCTATTCTCGTTTTTGGTAACAAATCAGTATCATAACAAATTGGTATTGGCTTGTTTCATAACTAGTATCAGAGCGTAAAGATCGAGCTGTGATAAAGGGATGGAGAAGGTCCTAGTTATATGTCTTGCAGGGTTCTATGATCATGTTTGATGCAACTATCACTAAGTTGAAGAAAATATATAGTAGATTTTAGGAGAGGTTTAGTGAGGCTGATTTGGTTGCGTATGCTTTGATAAGTGTTGACTCATATGGAGTTAGTTGTGATCTTGTTGCTTGTGGTGATAATTCGAGCAAATTTGATAACTCGAATGGATTTAGTTGTAATTTTGACGATTTTATTGCTTGTGGTGATAATTCGAGCTCTCTAATCTATGAACAAATCCATTCCTTGGGAGTATTGGGCGATCGCCGAAATTCATTGATCTTCCCGAGCCTCATCAGTGGCATTTGCAAGCGCTCGGGAATTGTTATCCTGCCGGGGAACTTCCAGTCAAACCAAGCCCATTCATCAAATGCAGCACTTTGGACACTCAGGATAGAGCACGGGTGAAACACCGGGAGGCCGAAGAGAGGACTCATTTGGGTCAACAACCAGCTGGACAAGGTGGTAGGGCTGCAGATATGGATATACCTCAAGAGGCAGCACCGCCACCACCACCTTTTGGGGCCGACACACAGATATTGCGGCAGATGTTTGCTACCATGACAGGTTGCAGTCGAGACATTCAGAGCTTGCAGCAAGCATTTGGGGCGTTGCGCACAGACATGTAGCAGGTGCACTCCGACATGCAAATTACCCCTACTTTCGCCTCTGATTCCAATAGGGAGTCCCTCGCTACCAGGCGGGCATTCGAGACAATGAATGGGCGGTTGAGCTTGTATGCCGACAGGGTCGATGGTCTGCAGCTCCGAGCGGATGAGACATGGGATCGCTTGGGCAACCTTGAAACAGAGGTGAGGAGACATTCGGATTTCCTTCAGGAGAATTCGGAGTTGCTTCGGGGGCATACGAATTTACTTTAGGAGCAGTCTGGGATGCTGCGGCAGCTCCTTGCACGACTAGACCCACCACCAGATGATAGCACTGCGGAGCCCAGTTTTCTTCCACCATCCCCACCACCGCCTCCTCTTTGATCAGGGAGTTGCCTCACCCTTTCTTTTGCTTTATTTTCACATTTGACTTCTAACTTTCTCCTGTGCACATTGTGGGCAATGTTTGTATAAGTTTGGGAGTGGTAGAATTTGTATGACAATCTAAGAACAATGTCTACAGTACTTTTTAGCTTTCATAGATACTACCTTATGATTTCTTGCTTTTGTGTGCCTGTTGATTTCGCAATTAAAAAAAAAAATTAATTCAGTTTCAATTTTTGCTTCATAGTCTTACGCATTTCTAGTAGTAGTTTAGAATTTTGTGTGCTTGTATGGGTTTAATGGCCTTGCCGACAATGATGAAAATATTAGAAGCAGTATAGCTATGAATTATGAAAATTGTGCAAGTTAAATTTATCGATACTTGTCTATGTGGAAACTTGACATTATTTTGCGCACAATACTTGTGTTAGGCATGCTAACCTAATGATGGGACTTATGAATCACAGTAGAGTTGAACATAATAGGTAAACCCTGAAAACCTCTATTCCACTTATCAATTAACCATCATTATTAGAAGTTTGGAGATGATTTAGCTATTACAAGGGAACATTGAGATGAGTAGGGATTCCATGTGTGAAAATTGTGTTGTGTGGATTGGATTAGACCAATGAGACAAAAACGAAGTAAAAGTTTCAAGTTAGAGATTTGTTCTAGAAACTGAGTGTCTAAAATAAAAGGGGCATTGCACTAATCATTGAATAAATAAAGACATCTGTTCGAGCCTATATAACTCGAGTGATTAAGCCTGTAAGGGTTTAAAACCTGGTGCCCTATGGTCACCTGACTTGGGAGTCATCGGCTTGAAGCTCGTTACAAGGGTTATATAGAAAGCAAAAGGAAGATGTTATTGAAAAAAAAAATATCTATATTCATTGAATGATGATATACATGCTCCTATGTATGAAATGCATTGATTAGCTCTAGACATCCGGTTGATAGAATCATATCTCTGATACGAAGCAAGTAACTTAGTCTAGTCTTAATGGTTGAAACATTAAAGAAATAGGAGAATCCATGCTTGTTGAAGTATGAACTTGTGACTGCAAGATCTATCCAAACTAAGAGAGGGTAAGGACTTAAGTAAATCAAAAACTCTACTCTAGAATACACTCCGGGATCTTTGAGCGAAAAGAATAAGTTTGGGGGTGTGAATCTCTCGGGTGAAGAAAGGAAAAATTTGACTACTGTAGGTCGGGATTTGCAACCATCATCAGTTTGATATGTTTTACATAAGTATGCACACACATACACATCAAGTTCTGCATATGATAGGTGGAGGTTGATTTGATTTTGCACTATTGAAACTGTTCATTTTGTTGATTACTAAATTCTGATCCTGAGACATGGCAGGCTATTAAACCATGTTTTGTGTAGAGTTAAGTCACCATCTTGTTTGAAGACAAACAATAATTCAAGTTTGGAGGATTTGATAAGTGTGTTTTGCACACTTATTTAGGTCACAAAACATGGAAAATTGTTGATGTATATGTTGAAATATGGCTTAATCCGATATAATTTGTGTTTTTAGGATTACATTGATGGATGGAATGAAGAGTATGAGAAAATGAACGAAAAATGACCAAAATGGAAGAATATGAAACTCCGAGGACCAAAATGCAATTATTCAAAAGATGACCCGAATGGCGAATAAAGCATGGGATTGAGCTAAGTAACACATTGTGATATCATGAGATGTTAGAAGAAGAAGGAGAAGAAATCAAGGCCAAAAAGGTGGATGAAACAAACTTGGAGACCAAAGTGAATCAAAGGAGAAATAATTTCTACCATGCAGTCGCATGGTAGAAAGTCCATGCAGTCGCGCAAGCATCTACCGGGGATGAACAGTGAAAATTTTGTATAACCATGCAGTCGCATGGATTTATACCATGCAGTCGCATGGTTCATTCTGGGCGCGAATTTTCTGGTTTCCTTATTTGAATCAAACACTTATGGTAACGCATCTAGGACTTCTTTATAACCCTAATCTCGTCCAAAAAGAGGGGCTACGCCTTCCTAGAGAGAAAAACGACATTGTTGAGCAAGATTGAAGGCTAGGACGAAGACTTTCATTCCAAGATCCAAGATTTCAAGCTTTATATTCAAGAATTGGGTGATGTCTTCTCCAAAATATTTTCTTTGTTATTTCAATTTATCCATGCTAGGCTAGGTTTTTATTGTACTAGGTGAACGATGAACCTCGTATTGTGAACCTTTAATTCTTTATTTTGCAATTTGATTATAAACACGAATATTTGTTGTTGAATGGTCTATATTCTCTTTATTGCCTCCATAATTATATGCGCAATGATTATGTGAGTTTGGGTGGTCTATTTCATGCATTCGAGAGAAGGGGAATAGATTCTACAAGGTATAAATCATCGTAAGGTTCGATAGGGGATAGAGATATACCGCTATGCTTTACGTGAGTCTTTAAGTGTTCATAAAACGTTATGCATTCTTGTATATTGGCATTTGTCATAGAGATATAGTCAAATGGTATGCGAGGATAGGTTTAGCTCTACTCGAGAGAGATTGTTGAATATTTTAGGAACATTGACTCTTCAACCGATTCATTGTGCTATCAAATTTTGAAATAAAGGTTAAGGGTGAGTCTACTTGGGGATTCGGGATCCTAGTACGCTTTTCATACATATATTTCATCAAGCATCTGCATTTAATTCGTAATTTGCACTTAGTTATTTACTTTCATTTAAACTTGCATTCTTAGTATAATTTAGATAATATCATAGTTTGATCTTCTCTTTGAATTCACTTAAGTTTCGGTTAAGGTCAAGATAGGTTACGTTTGAACTAATTTAATCTCTGTGGGAACGATACTTGGACTTCAAAATCCATTTTTATTACTTGAACGATCCGTACACTTGCGGTAATCAAAGTTGAACACAAATTCGACGTGTCATCCATTTTGAGATTATTGAAAATGTGTTCTTTTTGTCATTTTGAAAAATTATTTTCAAAAATAAAAAATTGGAAAACTGGTTCTCTTCTTCCCATCTTCTCTTCTTTGTCGTCTCTCTCTATCGTCTCCCTCGCAAGGCCGGCACCGAAGACCACGGCGGAGCTGTCGCGATGAGCAATGAGCGGCGCTCCCTGCGATCGCCGGCTTCTTCGTCTCTTTTTTTTTTTAATGCGATGGTTGGTTTGGCTTCGATGGTTGAATACGGCGTCGCTGGCTTCTTCTGCTATTGTGGCGGTGGTGGTGATTTTGGGTAGCGATGTCGCCGGCTTCTTCTACTATTCTTCTTCTGTCGTGGTTGGGTCGCGACGTCGCTGGCTTCTTCTACTATTGTGACTGTGGCGATAACAGTGGTTTTGGATCGCGACGTTAGCGGCGGCGATTTTGGCGGTGCGGCAGTGGCGGTGGTGTGGTGCAGGCGGCGGTGGCTGTAGTTTTTGTTGGTGGCATAACTCAAAACAACCAAAATACGTTTTGAAAATTTTGGATTGGTTTTAACTGAAAATGCCCAAAACGACATTTTTGACGTTTTTGATTTTCTTTATAAATTTTAAACTCGTTTTTGAAAATTCGTTTTTGAAAATAAGTAATTAAACGTGTTTTCACTGTTTTGGAAAATCGAAAACAGAAACGGGATGAAAACGGCAAAGAGAACAACCCCTTACTTTTCTAGCAACTCTTCTTACTTTAGATCTTCCAATTACTAATGCTCAGTCTAATGGAAGAAGGATGATAACAGTGTTGAGTATTGATGGAGGTCGCATTAGAGGCATTATTCCTGGCACCCTTCTTGCTTATCTTGAAGCCAAGCTACAGGTGGTTTATCAAGCTTTTTCCTCCTTTCCCCCTCATGTGTCAAAATGTGAGGAGCTATCGAGGTCTAACATGCGAAAAGCCCAACTCAGGTACAGCCCGGCTCTACAGCTGAGTTGTCCTAAACTCGACTATAGAGATAGGTGCCTGCACAAAAGATAAAAAAGAAAAAAATTGTGCAAAATCTTTCTAAAGCCCCTAGCCCGAACCTGGCTCAAATAATTTTAGGAAGAATTAATTTAGTGGTATGACTAGTTTGTACAACTAGTTTCACAACTAGTGAGTTGTCAAGATCCGTGTTATTGATTTAAAAATAGTTTTAAAAATGGATGGATGTGATACCAGTCAAGTGTGAAGTTGTAAAGAATGTTGTACGAGTAGCAGGACTACTTTAGGAATATGTCAAGCCTATAAAAGGGTCGTGTTGGCATGGCTTGATTGAGTTTACACCTATACCTCAATTTCTTCTAACATAATATGATATTTTAAGGTTTGAATTTATGCATACTTATTATCATCTTGGGTTTATGCTTGCCAGGAATTAGATGGACCAGGTGCAAGAATTGCAGATTATTTTGATGTAATAGCACGAACAAGCACAGGGGGTCTAATTACCAGTATGCTAACTGCTTCTAGTAAGGATAATCACCCTTTATATGCGGCAAACAACATTACCAGTTTCTACTTGGAGCATGGCTCTAGATTTTCCATAGTAAAAGGTAATTAATCTCCCTTTACAACTGTGGTTTTGACGTTTCTGCTAAAACTATTGTCGTAAAAAACTTTGAGGCCTTGTTCAGTAAGGTGTAATGTACAACACTAAACAATATTACGGAACAAAGATAAGTTAACATCTTCTCTATTGTACTGGCCAGGCGCTTGAATTCGTAAAGAAATTAGAGATATGTTTGGAGGGCCGAAGTATAATGGCGCATATCTAAAATCATGCGTCAAGGAAATATTAGGCAATCTGAAGTTGAGCCAGACCTTAACAAATGTGATGATACCTGCATTCGATATCAAGCTCCTTCAACCAGTTATTTTCAGTACACAAGATGTAAAATCCTACATTGTTTGAATTAAATATATTTGTTGTAGTTTTTCTAATTTCCTGTCTAGTCAAGTGTGAGAAATTCCTTACACCTACTAAAATTGTTCACAGGCAAAAACAAGTTTTTTTTTCCATAAATGCACTGCTATCAGATGTATGCCGAGCCACTTCTGCAGCTCCCACCTATTTCCCACTTCACTATTTTGAGACTCAAGATGAACATGGAAAGACACACCATTTTGATCTTGTTGATGGAGGGCTAGCGGCAAATAATCCAGTAAGTAGTCGTTTAAATTACCTCATTTGAAAGTTTAAGTATCCCAATTTAATACTTTAAGCTTTTAGATGACATGTTTTATCATTCAAGGGCGGGACTTGACCAAAATACATATACGATTTCCTAAAAGCTAACCCATATCTTTCATGTTAGAAAATAATCAAGTAACACTTTGATAGAGCCCAAAAATTTAGGCCAAAGATTGAATTGTTGGTTTTTAATTCACATTAAAACAGACCCACAAAATGTTATACCGTAGAAATAGTTTTTAGGTTTGAAACAAAATAGGCATTGTACAATGCTGCGCGTGTGGCAATACGATTATTAGTCTTATTAATTAGCATATGATTTGTTTATTTTTAACATGTTAGTTCTTTTAATCTAAGCTATCTTGTTTCGTAGAATTATTTTGGTCATTACACTGATGTTCGCCAACCTTTTAATGGCTCAAAACCTTCACCAACCAATCTTTGCTAATATTTTGACTAATGATTTAGTTGACTTTCATCAATCACGTGTAAGTAATTAATTGTTTTAAAAAATAATAAATATGAAAAACATCACACAAAAGAAATAACAAAAATAAAGAAATTAACAAGAAACATAAAATAATAGCCACTTTTGATTGCATATATAACAATTACTAATAAAATTTACATTTGTTTAATAAAAGAAAAGCTATAAATTAGAAGAAACATATTTCATCTTGTGGTAATTGAAACCAAGAGAACCAATTAGAAAAAGGGGTACTTACAAAAATACCCTTAAAATTAGAGATGTTTTTAAAAATCATGTGAAAGATTTTTAGGAAGTAAAAAATACTGTGTAAAATGAAAAAAGTGAC